CTTAGTCCCAGCACAAGCTTTGAACTGTCTGCTGAAAACACGTTGCCATGGGCGAGATTCAAACCTGGCCATCCAGCTCTGAGAATGGCTGGTCATCTCAATGAGGTAAAGTAAGGCTCGTGCCAGAGAGCTAAATCGCTGATCGCACTTATAATGTGGTCCATTCATTTCAATAGGGTAAAAAAAGAAATTGCATAAAAAGCTTAATATTTCAAAAAGTATAACAGTTATGAGCACCAAAAGATATAGCAGGAACTAGCAGAAAGAGCTTAAAAAAATAGTTGACAAGAGCTGAAAACTTTCTGCAGAAAACAGGTGAAGAAGCTGAACATTCCGGTGAAAAGAGGCAAAAAAGCTAAAATGGATATTAGAAAATTTGCTGAAATCATAAAAACATTGCAAAATTGCAATTAATTGGCAGAAATAATTAGGCTGCACAACCTAAAGTTCTGCCAGCTTGAAGTGTCTGCTGAAAACATGTTGCCATGGGCGAGATTTGAACCCTGGCCTCCAGCTTTGAGAACGGCAGCTCATCTCACTGAGCTAAAACATAGCTCACCTAAAACCAGTGATCACACTTGTAATGTGGTCCCATGCATCTAAATGGGCCAAAAAAGTATCATAAAAGCTTAATATTTCAAAAAGTATAAAAGTTATGCACACTGAAAGATATAGCAGGCATTAGCAGAAAGAGCACAAAAACTGAGGCAGTAAAGAAACGGAGCAACTAGAATAATAAGGTAGAAGAATAAAGTTTAAAGAGAAACTGGATCACAATAGTGCGCCTCAGGCACTCACACAATTAAAGCTGGTTCTGCACTCTCTGTGATGATCTGATGGTGGCTGTTGGGACTGACTTTAAACCATCTGATGGAGTATGTCTCCATCTAGTGGAAGACACGTAATTACAGGTGGAGAACAACAAACTTATTTTGGCAGCTGGATTCACAAACACAGACATGAAACACGCAAAAAAAAAGGGGGGGAGGCAGGTTCCAGTTTGGATTCAGGAGAAAGACACCGTGATGTTTACAGATATTTTATTTTGAAAAGGTCGAACGTGAGGCCGAAGGAAGTTAGTAGGAAAGGAAAAAAACGTTAGAGGAACAAGTTAGCGCTGCAGACTGTGTTGATGCTGCAAGCCTGAGAATTAAAGACTGGAACTGAGAAATACTGAAGTTGTCATCATTAATGTTTGAGGCATGCAAACATTACAGACACTATCTCTACTTTCAAGATTAGGCTTCAAACTTTCCTTTTTGCTAAAGCATATAGTTAGGGCTGGACCAGGTGACCCTGAATCCTCCCTTAGTTATGCTGCAATAGACGTAGGCTGCCGGGGATTCCCATGATGCACTGGGTGTTTCTTCTTCACTCACTATGTGTTAACAGACCTCTCTGCATTGAATCATATCTGTTATTAACCTCTGTCTCTCTTCCACAGCATGTCTTTATCCTGTCTTCCTTCTCTCACCCCAACCAATCACAGCAGATGGCCCCGCCCCTCCCTGAGCCTGGTTCTGCCGGAGGTTTCTTCCTGTTAAAAGGGAGTTTTTCCTTCCCACTGTCGCCAAAGTGCTTGCTCATAGGGGGTCATATGACTTATATTTTTATTTGTGATCTCTGCTTAATCAGAACTCTGGAAGTAATAAATGCATGAACTAGTTTTTCAGCGTCACTCTGAGACAGGATATTTCTAACTTTAGAGATGTTGCACAAATGGAAGAAAGCAGTCTTACATATTTGTTTAATATGTGCGTTGAAGGACATGTCCTGGTCAAAAATGACTCCAAGGTTCCTCACCGAGTTACTGGAGGCCAAGGTAATGCCATCCAGAGTAAGAATCTGGTTAGATACCATATTTCTAAGCTTTTCAGGGCCGAGTACAATAACCTCAGTTTGATCTGAATTAAGAAGCAGAAAGTTAGCGGCCATCCAGGTCTTTATGTCTTTAAGACATTCCTGCAGTTTAACTCATTGGTGTGTGTGTGTATGTGTGTGTGAGACAGACTAATCGAGTGACTGGTTAAAGACCAGCTGCGATGTTCTGTGGGTCTGATGAACAGCTGCTCTGTTAGGATCAGATATTCATGCTCACAGAAAACTGAGTTCTGTAAGATAAAGAATAAAATTCTGTTACTGATCAAACACAAAGACTTCAGACCTCCTGCTGAGCTGAGGGAGCTGCAGGAGTGGTGACGCAGTTTCCTCAGATCTGATTGGTCAGTATGGGCGATTTCATACCTGCTGATGTTCACATAATGTTTTACGATTTGTCTTTATCTTTAATTGTAGATTTAAGTTTGGTGCTGGTTGTTGATAGTCACCATCACACAGATGAGTCAGCTGATCGATGAAGATTCAGGAAACATTGTGTCGACATAAACTTTCTGGTAAAGCGAGGGCCGTAGAGGCAGCCTCAAACACAGAGGAGGGACAGGTGAGTAAGGAGGCCCACAGGCTCCCCTGCCTCTGAGTGGGTTAAATACCTGGTTACAGCTCAGAGTGATGTCACCTCATTGGCTGTCTGCTGTCACATGGGAAAGCTCACTGAGAGCGTTGGGGGTCTGGAGGTCCTAGACCCCCAAACACCTTAGTGCTGATGAAGAGGAGGAAGCTCTTTGCCATTTGTCTGGTCTCTGTTTGCAGCTCCATGTCCAAACCTCGGAGCTCTCCTTCCTGTCACGTGGATGTTACTCCTCGCTCCTTTACCTCCACTGAGACACAGAAATAAAGGATTTACAGATTTCGCCTCCTGCTGAGACGCCTAAAGTAGGACTCAGCTTCCAGCACAGGTGAGTTACCTGCTGCCTGACAGGCTCAGCTCCAGACAACATGCAGTTCGGCTCACACAGGAAGTGAGTTTACTTTGGTTACACCTGTGAATGCAAGCGTGAGGAGACTACCTCAGGTCACTGGGAGCTGAGGCGACGCTCCAGCTTTCACTCCCACTTTGTGTTCTACAAAACTAAAGAAACCAACAGAGACCTCCAAAGCTCCTCCCCCTCCTCCTGCACCTAAACCTGGTTTCACCTTCAGCCTCTTTGTTCCGGTTTCCTTCCAGCAGAGGGCGTAACAGCTGAGTTGTGAGTTCGATCAGCCAGATTTTATTTCTTACAGATCGGTAGATGGACAGAGAGCAGCAGTTTGCAGCAGAGAGCAGCACAGTCCTGGGTTTTGTATTCAGGGCTTCTCTGTGTTGAGTTTACAGGTCCTCCCCAGGATCTGGTTAATGACCCTGAATTAGACAGTAGAAGAAGACGAGTGTCACCGATGACGTGGGAGTCACCCTCACTGCCCGTCTACTTGAGTGTTAAGAATCACTTTTAAAATCATCAACTGAAGAGAAACTGAGTACTTGTTTGGAGCGGAACTACACCTCCCATGATGCCTCAGTGCAGCTCTCCCTGTGTCCCTGCAGAGGGAGGAGAGTGGGAGGAGGAGCATGGGGCGGAGAGGGGCGAAGGGGGAGTTTGGGAAAGAATGCGAGGAATTCATTTCCTGTAGAACAGCTCTGAGAACGAAGGAGGAGACGAGGAGTTCGTGGAGAAGGAGCTCTATCTCCTGCTCTCCTGCTGGATTACTGACTCTACTCTCCTCCCAGCACCTCCCGACTCAGGAGGAGCAGGAGGAGGAGAGGGAGGTGCACGATGGCTGAGCCCCTGCTGAAGAGGACCTTCTCCAGGCTGAGAGGCAGAGACAGAAGCCGCAGGAAGACCGACCCCAAACTGAGCGGTAAGCAGCTGAAACTCACTTTTCCTTCACTTACATGCAGCATGTGAATGCCTCACGCTACCTTTAATGTCAGAATAAAGTTTATGAAGGGCAGTGAACACCTCACGATGCCTTCATGTGATGAAGCTGCTTCCTATCACAGATTAAAGGCACTGTGAGCACGCTCACTGTGAGCACGCTCACGGCAAGCTTCCCAAACTTGAGGGATGAACTGCTCTCATCCCTGAAGTGGGCGGGAAACTAAGGCAGAGGACCATTCTTATGAAAGAGTTTGTTTAAATAAAGTTCTGCTGTTGGAATCAGCGTTGACCTCATGACCTCAGGCGTCTCAGGTCGCATCCGAGTGGGCAAACAGTGTCTGATCAGAGCTGAAGCAGAGCACAGGGAGAGTCTATGTGACTTTTCTGTTTTCATCGCAGCCTTCGTCAGGACACATGACCCTGATGCTCTGTGTTTGCGTTCTCAGCAAAGGGTGGAGGTCAGCATGACCCATGAATGAGCAGACGACCTCGTACTAACACGCTAACAGAGGCCAAGGTCGGCGTCCTCGTCTCTGCTGTCCAGTCCTCAGATGTTTCGGGGTGAATGTCCACGCGTTTCCAGTCAACGTGGCCACCCAAACCATTCAAAACCATCAATCTATATTAGACGTGACCTTTTCACTCACATACCAGTAATCACATCAACAGCTCACTGTGTCGGTGTGTGTGGTGTGTATGTTGTTCAGTTGAATTCAATAGCGCCAAATCACAACAACAACAGTCGCCTCAGGGTGTTTGATATTGTAAGATAAAGACCCTACAATAATACATACAGAGAAAATGCCAACAATTCTATGACCCCTATGAGTAGGTACTTAGCATTAAGAAGGAAAAAACTCCCTTTTAACAGGAAGAAACCTCCAACACTCTGGGAGAGGCGGGGCCATCTGCTGCGACCACTTGTGGTGAGGAGAGGAGGACAGGACAAACCTACACCTGTTGCAGCATAACTAAGGGAGGATTCAGGGTCACCTGGTCCAGCCCTAACTATATGCTTTAGCAAAAAGGAAAGTTTGAAGCCTGATCTTGAA